TACCAGTTATAATCATTGTCCGAACAACAACAAAAAAAAAGAGAGAAAATGATCGAAAATATTCGATCATTTTAAGAAAAAGTAGAAAATGAAACAAAACATCAATTGAGAATCAAATAATGATTGAAAATTGTAGATTCTTTTCATTGATGATCACAATTCAATGATGATCATGATCATTGAACAATGATATTGGTAATGATATAATAATGAGATGAACAAAAAAAACCTATTATCTTGGAAATTATCGATTTTTTTGCTATTGAAACATTTACTATCAATGGCCAACAATATTCACTTATTTTCTAAATCATTTGTTTTTGCCCATTACATTGATTTTAATCTTTTTCTATCGAACGAAAATGAAAATCATCAAACAAAATATTAGATAAAGGGTGTAATAAACAAAACTATTTTTCAATTTTTCTCGTATCATCATTTCAACAAAAACTTTATTAATGAAGAAAATGGAAAACGAGTATAGAATCGAGAGAACGTCTTTTGGAATAAAAAAAAATTCTGACACACACGCACAAATTCGAATATTCACAAATTCATACCCTACAAGTATTTTTTTATAAATGTTAGGTGTGAAATTTTTTTCAATAGAGAATTTCAATATAATTAAAGAAAACAAAAAAGTGTGAAATTTTGATTCCAAAATGATTGATTAATAATCATTAATTAAGACTATGATAAATAGTTTTTAATGAATATTCTGAAAAAAGTTTAATTTAGAGACATTTCTATCACATTTTGTTGTTGTTGCTATTTCTTAATGCCAAATCGATTGAGAAAAATGAAATTTCATAAAAAATATGTGCAAAAGATAGATTGGTGACAAAAATAAAAATAAAAATAGTGATAATAAATAGAAAATGGACGTGTTTTTTACTGTATAAACATTTAAGTGTGACTTTTACTTTTTTTTCTTGCGATCAATATAAACAACAAGTGAACAAAAATGTGTAATAACAGGTAGATGAGAACAAAAAAAACAGCAAGAAAAAAAGAATTGATGAAATGAAATTGAACTTGTACAAACAGACAAAAAAAAAGAGTTGAATCATTTGATTACCTTGAAATGTGGATGAAAAAAAACAAAGATAAATATAGAAATTTCCATTTGACAACTCTATTATTTCATTCATTACATTTATATCCATGATCAAAAATGACCATCATCATCATCATTTATAATGGACACGCGATGATATATATTAAATGATTGACCATCTTTCTTTTTGTTGCTGATGTTTCTGATGATGATCAATACCGTCAACAACTAATAGAATAAAAAACCTTCAATTTGATGATGAATTATTGTAAATGGACAATATACACGTGCTTGGTCCAAAAATCAATAAATTTTCACATTGATTGAATTCAATTGAATATTATCATCATTCTTTTTTTTGAAGAGCAAAAGAGCGAAAGAATAGAAAAATATTAAATCATTTTATTCAAGTTTGTTTATCGATTCTCATTATCATCCGTTTATTTTTGCTTTGGATTTCTATATATACAGAAGAAAAGAGAAAACCACATGTTCAATGACAAAACACTTTAGACAACAAAAAAAATGAAGATCAAAAAACAATTGTTTCTGATTTGTTACAATGAACAAATGTAGAAAGCAAATAAAACAACAACAACAATGGATTTAACATGGTAAATTTGTCATCCATTCCTTCTATTCTCCATTCACTTGTCAACAAAATAGAATTCAAATTTTTTTTATTCCAATCAATACTTAGATACACACTGCATTCATTTCTTCAATTCGTTGATGATGGTTAGCCATTCATATTAATTTCATTTTCATTTGTTTCACAGATTTTCTTAAAAAATTCAATTTTTGTTTTTATTTTCAATTTCAATTTCATTGTTGTTGTTGTTGATGTGCATGAAAAACCAAAATTACCTTGTTATTATTATCATCATTTTTCTTACGTCCGTCTGTATATGGTTTTATTTATTCATTCATAATCCAAGATCATCATCATTGTTTGGAGACAAATGGATTAAAATTCAACAATTTCAAAGTGTGCGTGTGTTTGTTTGAATTATATTCTGGGACAAAACTGTTTATGTCTAAAAACAATAGCAAGTTTTTTTCTTCAATGATAATAATTACACACTTTGAAATAGACATATTTTTGAATTTGATTTGTAAACCGATCACCTTGACAAAACATACGAATTGTTTTAAGAACAAAAACAAAAGAAATGCTTTTGACAAAATGACAATTGTTTATACAAGAAATAAAACAACAATAACAACAAAATATGATCTTCATTAGATCAAAATTGACAGGAAAAAACTAAAGGAAGTTGAACAATGACACGAAATTCAAGATGATAGATTCTTTGGAAAAAAATTCATTCATATTATAAATTCAAGGAAGAATTTTCAATGAACAACAATCTGTAATGGATAGAATTTAAAAAAAAATTATCATTTTTTGCGTTTTAAATTTAAATCTTAAAAGATTAAACAAAAACAAACAGAGAAAAAATATCATGTCATAAATTGGTTAATACATATGATTGATGTGGAAAAAATATTAGTTGCATCAAAACGAGACGATTTGTTCATCATCATCGTCATTGAAATGATATTTGATTTTGTTGTTGAGAAAACCCAGAAACGGATACATTTTAAAAATAACTATTGTCGACATTCAAATGATGACGATCATCATCATTATTATCATCTATTTCAAAGGATGATGTCGTCCAAATAAATCGATTTCATTCGATGTACATTCATCATGGAACAACAACAACAAAAGATGTGCAACACACACACACACACGTAATTGATACATTATCATTAGTATTGTTATATGAAATCGTCATTCGTTTTGTTTTCTCCACTAACCGATTAATATCGTTCTCGTTTCCCTCTCGACTTTGTCAATCCAAAAAAATGACATTGAATTTTCGAAATCAACTTCAATCATCATTATCATTTTGATGATGATTTAACAATGGAAATAACAACAACAAAGAGGAGAACAAAAGAAAATGAAAAAAAATCAAATCAACAGGAAAACAACGGAATGTTGCAACAAGAATTTTCTGTTCAAAACTTTGATATATCTGTTATGGAAAATGTTTCACTTGATTTTCATCTAATCATTCCGGATGGCTCTTGTGAATTAAAATGGATCAAATTTTCGATCAAAAAAATCAATCAAGGTTTTTCATTTGTTCGATGATGATCCGAAACAAATATTGATGGATAACAAAAATAAAGAGTTAAAATTTATTTTCATTTTCTCTTCTGCTCCAACAATTGTTCATTCCTTTTTTTCAAATACATAAAATGAAACACTTGAAAATGTAAAAATAAAACACAATGTTTCGAAATACATCTCATCAAAAATTGCATGACATTTGAAAATTTCATTTTGTTCATCATCATCATCAGCATATTCAAAAGAAAAAGAAATTTTGGCGAAATATTGATTAATATCATCATCATTCTCGATATATTTTGTTTGAAAGCGAGAAAAAAAAACAATAATTTTTATTTATGATCATGGCATGATAACAAAAAAAAAGAAAATTTTCACAATAAAATGATTTTTCTTTGCTGTTAATTTTTTTAAGTGTAAAAAATTTCTCGTAAAACTTATACTTCATCGACAATTAAATTTTCAATGTGAATCAAATATACAGTGAGGGAGTGAGATAAAAATAAAAAAAAATAAATCGAGTAGCTCAAACAAATCAAACTATCAAAATATGAATTTTGGATTGACAAATCTCATCTAAACTTGAAATGATTAGAATAATGATAATTTATAGAACTATATGGATAATGATCATTAACCTTTTGGATCATTGATTGATCATTGAATCGAAAATTTTTCGGCAAAATCTTTTCAAAGAATGACCATCAATATGTTGAAAATTTTTTTATCATTCACATTCTTGTAGGAAAAATCATATTGTTCATCTCAATCGAAATATCATACAATCATATCCAATGCCTTTCTTGTTGTGTCTTATCGTCTTTTTAGCAGTAATTTTTGTTGTTGTTGTTGTTATAAAAAGCTAAGATTTTGATTTGAATTCAACTGATGATACTTGTTGATCATCAATATAATCATCATCGTTTAAGTCGCATAAAAATCTTTACAAACTTATCAACAACATTGTCGTCACTATTGATTATATCCTATAATCCTTAACGGTTCATCATCATCAATACAAGAGGGGGGCTAATAATGAATCCATTTGAAGTTCTATTATTATTATCCTCAAAATGTAATAAAAAAAAAAGACTCGAGAAAAGTTTTTTTATTCATTTTCATTATTATTATTGTGTTCTTCAATTTTTTCAAACGATTCGAGATCATCAAGGTTATTGATCAACAAAATGATGATTATGACTACCATGAATAAGGATTAATATAATTATATTTATATTTTTCTTCATTTAAATGCGATAGAATGAATCAACAAATATAAATGTAAATGAAACAGAACAAGAACAGATTTAAATTCTAGCATTATCGATGAAAGATTAAAGCAATCATCATCATCAAGATTGTAATGAATTGATCAAAAATGAGAAAATGTATTTATTAATTTTACTGCTCAATTACAATGAATAATTTTTTAAAAGATTTTTTATCGCTAAAAAATTAGGGCAACAATTTCGGAATTTGAATCAAATTATTAGATAAAGATGAAAATAATAATTAGATGTCATATAATTTTTATAAACAATTAGATCACAATTGAAATTAATTAGTTATTAATGGATCATGTCATATTTGGTGTCTATCAACGTAAACTGTAATAAAATGGTCGGTGTTTCTATTATCTAACGGTTCAAATTTGATTTAAAATAATAAATTATTATGATAAGACAATCATTTTTTTCCTGTGATGGCTAGGGAAAAAAGCAAATCTATATAACAGTAAGAAAAAATAGAGAATTTTTCATTACTTGCTTATACATTTGTAGGATGTGTTTGTGCATTGTCTTCAACAACAATCAAAAATGTTAAAATTATATTTGGCATCAATTTTTTTCTTATTGAAGATATTAATTGTCGATAGTGTATTAGTTGTTGATTCTGTTTTCGTTGTTCTTCGACATGGTGATCGTAATCCATTATATGTTTATCCGTATGATAAATATAATAGAGAGTATTGGAAGCAGCGTGGTGGTTTAGGGAATTTGATCGAAAAAGGTGAAAATCGTATCCGTGTGGCAGCAAAAAATTATCGCCAACAATATGAAATGTTACTTAACGAAACTGATGGATCAAGCGATCAAGTTATTACTTCGACTATTGAACGTGCTAAGAAAACGGCTGATATATTCATGGAAGTAATCAACAAAAAGGCAAAATTTGAACGTAATGATAAAATGTTAAATACAGATGCTGAATGTAAAAAATCTAAAAAAATTCGAGAGAATTTATTGATACAAAATGCAACAGAATTAATGCCCAACAATACTTTCATTGATAATCTTCGCAACAAAACTGGCGAAAAATATAATGGAGATACATTAGAAAATTTACTGTTATTAATGGGTTTGGCAGATACATTAAAGATTGAACGAGATCAAATGAAATTAAATGTATCCGAATGGATCACCGATAAAGAAACAGCCAATATCCTGTCAGAGTTGGAGAAGAAAAGTTTCTCAACGATGATGAATGATCATGAAATTCAACGTTTGCGTGCTGGTTTATTATTGAAAAATATTCGTGATCAGATCGAAAAAAAATCAAGTCAACGATTCTTTCTATATTCAACGCATGATTACAATCAAATTGTATTGTTGCAAGCATTGAATCTATATGATCAACTAGACCAAAACAATAAGGTGCCACCAACATACGTCAGTGGTGTTGTGTTTGAAGTTTATCGTAATGAAAGTGGTGAACAACAAAATAAATGGATTCGTTTTATTTATCGTCAATTCTTAGACAATGAAAATGGTACCATAACTAAAGTTGATACTCAAATGGTTCCAGAATTATGTCAAACAGAATTACAATTTCATGATGGAACAGCTATAAATACCCAAAAATTTTGCACTTGGGAACAATTTAGCGGTGAATTAGTGAAAAATCTAATACCAGAAAATTGGGATAAAGAATGTATGAATTCGGCAGCTATTAAGCCAATGGTAACATTCATGGTATTCATCATTACTATATTGACAAGTTATTTTTCAATACATTAAATTTGAATGTTTTAAATTCTTTCTCATCAGCATTATTTTCATATTCCACACAATTTTGATGATTAATAATTATTTATCAATTTTACTGCTCATTTGAATTAGAAATAGTACAATTACAAAAAATACTTTTCAAAAAACGATTTTTTACCGCTACGATTAAAATACATCAACATTTTCGTAATTCAAATTTAGATTAAGATGATAATTAGATGTCATTAAATTTTTATAAACAAAACGACCCAAATTAAAATAAGTTATTAATTAATAATTCAATGTAAAAAGTGGAATACAATAAAAATATAGATTTATGGCATGATTAATGGGTTAATAAATATAGAAATGAAAAAATCCATGACAACTTTTGATCAATATCCATACTACCGTATGACATTTTGGATGTCTATAAACCTGAACTGTCATAAAATGATTATTGTTTCAATTATTTAATGTTTTAAATTTGATTGAAAATGATAAAATTATATGATATGACAATCATTTTTTTCGGATGTGATGGATAGGAAAAAATGGATATTTATATGTCTGTAAGAAAAAAGACTTCATTCATTTAAATTTATGCTTGTGTATTGTCTTCAACAACAATTCAAAATGTTGAAATTATATTTGACATCAATTTTTTTCTTATTGAAGTTATTGAACGTTAATAGTGCACTAGTTCTTGATTCTGTTTTTGTTGTTCTTCGACATGGTGATCGTAATCCATTACATATTTATCCAAATGATAAATATAATAAAGAATATTGGAATCAGCATGGCGGTTTAGGAAATATGACCAATAAAGGTGAAAATCGAATCCGAGTGGCTGCAAATAATTATCGCCAACAATATGAAATGTTACTAAACAAAAGTCATGAATTAAGCAATCAAATAATAACTTCAACAAGTGTACGTGCTATAAAAACGGCCGATATATTCATGGAAGTAATCAATGAAACGGTAAAATTTGAACGCAATGATAAAATGTTAAGCTCAAGTTCTGTATGCAAAAAAGCTAAAAAAATTCAAGATGATTTGCTGCTCCAAAAAGCAACAGAACTAATGCCCAACAAGACATTCATCGATAATCTTAGTAAAAAAACCGGTGAAAAATATACGGACGATACATTAAAAAATTTACGTTTATTAACCGATTTGGCAGATACATTAAAGATTGAACGAGATCAAATGAAATTGAACGTTTCCGATTGGATCACCGATAAAGAAACAGCCAATATTCTGTCAGAGTTGGAGAAGAAAAGTTTCGCAGCAATGACAAATGATCAGGAACTTCAACGTCTGCGTGCTGGTTTATTGTTGAAAAATATTCTTGATCAAATGGAAAACAATTCCAGTCAACGATTCTTTTTATATTCAACGCATGATTATAATCAAATTGTATTGTTACAAGCATTGAATCTATATGATCAACTAGATAACAATAGTGTACCACCAACATACGTCAGCGGTGTTGTGCTTGAAGTTTATCGTAATGAAAGTGATAAACAACAAAATAAATCGATTCGTTTTATTTATCGTCAATTCTTAGACGATGAAAATGGTACAATAATTAAAGTTGATACTCAAATGGTTCCAGAATTATGCCAAACAGAATTACAATTTCATGATGGAACAGCTATAAATACCCAAAAATTTTGCACTTGGGAACAATTTAGCAATGAATTATTGAAAAATCTAATACCAGAAAATTGGGATAAAGAATGTATGATTTCCGGGGCCATGAAACCAGTGATAACATTCATGGTATTCATCATTACCATATTGACAACTTATTTTTTAACGAATTGAATTTGAATGTTTTAAATCTTTTCTCATTAGCATTATATTCTATTATTTTCATATTTCACACAATTTTAATGATTAATAATCATGAAAATGTATTTATTCAAAATTATCATTTCAAAAGAATGAAAAAGAGCTCCATTTTGTTTGTTTCTATTGAAAAAGAATCGAGGATATAATTAAAATTAAAGAAATTTTTTTGCATTTAGCAAAAAAAAACCTTGGATAATGATGATTTCGATTGAATCGTGATGACAGATTTTGTTTATTTTCAAAATCAAAACAAAACAATGTCGGATTATATCAATGTGCTAACGTTGTTTTTGACTGAAAAAAAATCAAATGATTCATCTAAGAAACTAATCAAAATGAAGAATTAATAAGAGAAACAAAATTTCATCAATTGGACATTGAGAATAATCATCTTGAAACGTTTCATCCGACAATCTAGAGCATTTTGATCATTTTCATTCAATGAAAAAACAAGATTGATTTCATTCAATTTTAAACTAAGTATTTTTTTCAAACAAAAATTTAGTTTAAATTTTTATGTAATTGAAAAACAACGAAAAGCAAAAAAAGAAATGAGCGTAAATTTTTTGAAATGCAATTTCAAATAAAATGTTATGTGTCTGTGTGCTCATCAATAATTATTATGGCCTCAGCATCAATAAATCGTTTGGGCAATGATTAAAAAAAATCTTAATGTGTGAGAGTGCCATCATCATCATCACTACGGTACTATTGATAATGCTCTCGGACTATTAAAAACATCATTTTAAAATAAAACACAGTATTTATTCTAATTAGATTAATGTTTTAAATTTAATATGATAATGTTCAGGAAAAAAATCATCAGAAAGATGATGATGATGATGATGAAACATTGAGAAGATTTGATCAAGATAAATGGCACTTGATAATAAATGTTAATTAGGATTTTTTTTTTTATACTTTTCGAATGATTTTCAAACAAATTTTTGTTTTCATCATTTTTTCAATTTTCAAAAATAGTTTCAATCTATTTAACAAATATGTAAGAAAAACCCTTCCGATGTATTTCGTTGATTGAATTAAAAATAATCTATTTTGTTCATTATACTTTCACCGTTTTTTTTTTCTTTACTTCCTAATCAATAAATTGATTTTAAATTTTTCACTGTTTTTTTTGAAATTCGCTTAATTACAATTTGATTTGTTTGAGCAATGCACATTCCGATCGAATCCAATCAATTTAAATAAATCATGTAAAAAACAACAATTTTAAACCGAGAAAAAAACCTGAAAAAAAAACATTAATCTTATCGGTGTGAAAACACACACACACACAAACACATTGTTTGCGGACAAAATTTTACTATCTAAATGTGACTAAATTCTTGATTTGGATGAAATTTTTTATTATAATTTATTTTTGATTTGTTTGCTTTGTTCAATTCAACTCGATCATTTCGTTCAATTAACATAGAATAAAACAAAACAAATCAGAAAAAAACACACTTGTTATTTAGATATTGACAATATAAAAAAAGCTATATATATCGTTTCTTTAAAATGACATTAATTGAAACAATAATTGATTTATTATTATTGTTTACCCGAAAAAAAAGCAAAAATTCCAATCGTAATGATCATTACCACCATAACGTAAACACCAATAATAATAATAATAAATTAAATCGCTAAAATCAAACTAGATTCGGATGACAAATTCATCGTGATGAACATGGGAAGAAATTTTTTTTCCAACAACAACGAAGGCACAGAAAAAAATGTTCAACAGGTGTGTTCAATATATATTAAAAGACCGTTTTTTTGGCGACAGAAACAAAAATTCATTAATTGGATTTAACCATTTTCAATTCATTCGTTTTAAAAAGTGGAAAAAATCGAAACAAAATGATGAACATGATGATGATGATCGTGTTCAAACAAGCAACCGATCATCAATCGTATTTTGTGCCAATTTTTAATTTTTCATTAAATTTTTTTAATGTTATTGATGTTGTTGCTTTTGGATCAAAGAAAAAGACAAAAAAATAAGAAACTAATCCTAGGATTTGATGACCTATTTCAATCAATCTAGAAATACAAATTATCATTGTTGTTATTATTTGGATAAACTAAAAGTTCTATAGATTCGTTGTAGAAACAAATGAAAAACAACAACATTCAATTCAATTATTTTAACTCTGTTACACTTTCATTTTGAAATGAAACATGAAAGAACATGATAGAAAAAAACTCGTGCGAATCGCATTTGGTATCTCAAATCCAATTTGAACAAATTGAATTATAAAATAGAAAAAATTCAATGATATGAATAAATGAAAACAGAACAAAACAAAAAACTGGAAAGTAAAAAAAAGATAAATAACTGGATAATAATCAAATAAAAAAAACATAAAATTTGAAATTGGCAAATAATAATGACATAATTGAATGAAACAAAACAAAAAAATTATCAACGACCAGGTGGACGACATAAACCTGTATAACTAACCAAATAGAGGACATACAAATAGACAAACAGACACATCTATAGTAGACACCGAGAAAGAGATATCTTCATCCATATATCCTACAATATAATGAATGTATAAAATTTTTTAATTAATTAGAGCATCTGTCGTTTATTACGTTATTTTCACGTTCTTTTTACATGTCCTTGTGTGTGTGTGTGTTGAATGATCACATAAAAGTGAATAGGAAATGATAAAAAATGGGGCCATCAAATAACTATAATTTTTTTGTTGATCCATATTTACAACAACTAAAATTGGTATGATAATCAGGTATGGTTTATTTTTTTCAAATAGACATGACATCAACCAGAATATGATTAACAAATAAATAGTGAAATTAAAACTGATAAACAATTTCTTCAATTGATCATTATTATTATTATGTACGTGTGTTTATCATCGTGTATCTCATTTGTTCAATGAATACAAGGAATTGAAAACATCTGTGTTACGTTTGTTATCGTCAAACAGACAAACAAAAAAATTTCAGTCATTTTCGGAAATCGCAATTAACACGAACATTCTGCACAAAAATTCTTTGAATCCAATGCGTAAGGTGTGGCAGTTTGTGATGAATCTAGAAAAATAAATTTTACACCCTCCTCAAGTAATGATAATAATCGTATTCCGGTTATGTTCAGCATATTTAAAAGGGTAATAAAATTCGAATGACAACAACAATTTGCAATTTGTTGCCTTTTGGGCAATAACAAAATGAAAAAAATAATAATAAAAATAAATGAAAAGGAAATTGATTATGGAAGTATTTCAGGGCAAAAACAAAGCAAACATCTTTGACATTACAAGGATGGCATCAATTTTTTCTCATTTCATTTTTTCAGATTCTCCCCAAAATTCTATCAATGATGAAAAGCGAAAAAAAAGTTTTCGTTGTTGTAGTCGTGGTCGTGGTCGTTGTAATGAATCGTCTGAATTTTTTCATGGAAAAAATAGGCATTCAATATCATATCATAATCTTTATGATTCATCAATCAATTTTATATTTCAAATTATTGTTGTTATATATCAAATTTGATGATTAAAGCACTAATCTACTAATTCCTCGTTTAATAATCCTACAAATCCTTTTTCCAAATGTAATTATTGTCTGGAAAAAAAGATGACAACAAGTAATAAGTATTGCGAGCATCATTTGATGACCAACTATTTAAAGTATAAATAGAAAAGAAAAAGAAAATGTGATGTTAATTGGCAGAAATGAAAAAAAATTAGAAAAAACACAGAAAAACACATTATCATCATTTCTACCAAATTATCAGCCATTTATCAAAAGAATTAGACAAAATGAGATGAATAACTAAATAAAATGATGTGATGTTACGCGCAGGATTTGGTGAATGGATTTTCTTCTTCTTCCAATTGTTTGTTTGTAAACTAATAGACATAACGATGACCAAAAAGTAAGTAAATAATAATATAAAAAGAAAATGGAAAAGGAAATTTCAATTTGTCATGATTTTCAATCGTCATTTTCAACCATTATTATTATTCACCTTGTTTTATTTGGCAAAAAATACTCAAAAAAAAATCTATTTCACACAATCCCATTTTATCAACAAAACTACAAAATTCATCCATTTGTTGATCATCATCATCAACAAATAATGTGACATTGAAACAGTGGGAAAAAACTAGAAGATGATGAAAATCGACAGGAAAGCAAAAAAATCATCATAATTATTTGTCCCTAAAGAAATCGGTAGGAGGATAAAGTAAATGAGGAATATTAGTATGTTTTCTATGATTTGTTTGAAAATCAAAACAAAAACAAACTGCTTACTAATTAAGTACTACAAAAACATCATATCATATTAATCTGTTGTAAATTTTTTTCATTATTATTCATTTGATTTGATGATCTACTATCCGATTTAATGCAAAAAAAGCAAAAAATAAATAAATAGATAAATTGCATACAATTAATCCTGACACCTTGATTTTGTCTTCGGGATGCAATAATTTTCTTTTTTTTTATTTTTGCTAATCTCCTTAACTTTATCATCTTCACAAAAAAACAAAACAAAATGTGCTGAAAAAACATTGGTCATTCATTCATTATAATTTTGTGACTGATTCTGGTTAGCGTTATATATTTTTGTTTGGTTGTTTTGCTCAATTTTCATTGCTATTAGAGATGGAATTATCACAGGATCATCAAGATTGAAGCCCGCTTCATTTTCATCAATTTATATGATGATCATTATCATTATCGAAATGATCAGATGATGGATTCAAGGACGAAATTATTTTTTTTATTCAAAACAGAAGATATTAGGATTTTGGCTTTAAAAACTTTCATCGCACAACGACGTGACAACATAACCGACGATAAATAAATAAATTAGAAAAAATGGTCATCATGATCGAGAGAAAAAAAATGGTTGCAATAAGAAGAAAGAAATAGAAATGACAAGAAATAAAATGTCGATCATCACCACTACCGTCATCATTGAATGAATTAAATTTCAAACAAAAAAGCAATGAAGGAAAAATGTAACAAAAAAAATCCTGGAATTATCAAATCGATGGATATATTTTCTCACTCTTTCT